GTAAGTGCCCTTTCATGGCTTACATATTAAAGCAAATACCTGTTAGGATGGTAAATACCAGCCCGAAGAGGCAACAGCGGAGTAGAGTCAGAGTCCTCGAGTCGGAATCAGTTATCTTACTTGTGTGATTGATTTACCTGGCAAATGAGCCAGTTTGGATAACAAATGTAACTGTCTGCTGTGTCCTCAGATGGACGTCCTCTTTATATTTTGAGACTGGGACAAATGGACACCAAAGGTCTGGTACGGGCTTTAGGAGAGGAAGTGCTTCTAAGACAGGTAACATAAAAAAAAAAGATTATAAGAAAAATTCTCATTCACTAACTGATTAAAAAAAACAGATATCGATGTCAAATATCAGATGCAAAATGGAAATTCTAATCATTTCTGGAAATGTTGTGTGTATTAATGCCATGTCTTGACTGTACTCTAGGTCCTGTCCATCAATGAGGAGGGACTAAGGCGTTGTGAAGAAAACACCAAAGTCTTTGGGACACCGATAAGGTTAATATTTACTAGATCTAGCATTGTATTAGTAACAATTAATCATGATTAATCAAGATTAGTTAACATTCATCAATAAAACAGGAAGAGTTATTAGGGGTTAGATGTATATAGATGGTATGTTCAAGGACAAATATAGTTATATATTAATATGTAAACATTGTATATTTTAATTCACTGGTCCGTTACATTTGACTCAGCTGTTGGACTTGTCTGGTGGATCTGGAAGGTCTGAACATGCGTCACCTGTGGAGACCAGGCATCAAGGCTTTACTGAGGATCATAGAGGTGGTGGAAGCCAACTACCCAGAGACCCTCGGCTGCCTCCTCATACTGAGGGCACCCCGAGTGTTTCCGGTGCTCTGGACCCTGGTGAGAATCAATATCTGAACTGAGCTGAGATGTTTTTAAGCTGTGTTCACTGCTTAATTGTTATAAAGTGTCTGTGTGAGGACTATGGCAGTGAAGTTGAAAAGTCTGGGATTTTAAATAACCAAATATTAAAGATTTGACAGAGAAGATGAAGATTTCAGCTCCATGTTTTCTTCTAACTAGGACACAAATCATCAACTTAGTCAAGTTAGTCTTGTATCTGTTTTCATCTTCTGCTGCCAGATCCACTCTGTCTCTATCATGCATTAGAGTAAAACTATTTGAACATGTAATCTTATATAAAGGTGGATTTTAGCGCTTTTATAAATGTTAAATATAGAATAGGTGAAACCTCTGTGACTCTTTTCACCAGATGGTGTCTCCAGAGCTCCACGACTGTTGATGGTGTTCTTTGTTTTTATCAAACACCATGTACAGACTCTGAATCACCAATGTCATCACAGGCTTTTATAAAAAACATTTCTCTTAGAGTCTGCAGGATGCATACATTCTATAAATAAATGAGATTTGCTGCACTCCACCGATTCGTTTTTGGAACAGCTTCATGACGATCATGGTCTGAGTTTTCTTTTCTCTTGAATACTTCCTGTTCCTAGGTCAGCCCCTTGATCGACGAGAACACACGTAAGAAGTTTCTTGTTTACGCAGGAAACGACTACCAGGGCCCTGGAGGCCTGGTGGACTACATCGACAGACACATTATTCCTCATTTCTTGGGAGGAGAATGTATGGTGAGAGTTACGCCTTCATCTTCAACACTGATGCAGACATTTTTACTTTGTATTAATGATGAAAGGAGTGATGAGGTGGTTAATAAATAGTTTCTTTCCTTGAAGTCTGACTTCCCCGAAGGAGGCATGGTCCCTAAATCTCTGTACAGGACTGCAGAGGAGCTGGAGTGTGAGGAGAACCGCCTCCTGACTGACTCCATCTACAAGAGTGCCAGTATCTTCAAGGGAGCGCCGTATGAGGTTGTCTCAGCTTCTCAGTCTGTGTACAATTCGAAATATCTTTTTTCCAATGAAGAACCTAAGATGTTTTGGAGTTTACGTATTGGAATGCAGTGCCAGCTACTGGCAAAAAACATGATGAATGACCCTTCTTCTGACTTTGTTTTTTTCTAATATTTGTATTCATTCCTACTTAGATGCTGGTTGAGATTTCAGAGGCATCATCAGTTATCACCTGGGATTTTGATGTTTTTAAAGGAGATGTGACTTTCAACATCTACCATTCAAAGCGGGCCCCTCAGCCTCTGGGAGCCCATGGCATCACATCCCTGGCTGGACCTGTCAATGCCCAGCTGATAGATAAGAACTGGGTGCTGGGCCAGGACTACAGCATGGTGGAGAAAGCCCTGATGTGCAGGGAAGGAGAAAGTGTACAGGTGGATTAAAAAAAGAAAAATCACATCTTCTTGCTCTGTTGCACAGACGTGGTGAATGGTGATCTTTTCTTAAGCCATAATTGAGTCTCTAAGGCTCTCCTCTTTCTTATACAGGGCTCCCACATAACACGCTGGCCAGGTTTCTACATCCTCCAGTGGCGTTTCCACAGCTCCACTGCCTGCACCGCCTCTAGCCTGCCCCGTGTGGATGATGTGCTGGCCTCGCTGCAGGTCTCCTCCCACAAGTGCAAGATCATGTATTACACCGAGGTGCTGGCCTCTCACGACTTCAGGTCAGTGCACACAAAACACAGAGCTTTCACTTGGTCTCATGTTTTCTTTGCTAAATGTGACCACTGCAAAAATGTACCGCAAATCACTTCATAAAAGCTTTGTGATTTCTGTCTTTAAAAATAAGATTTGAATGTCTTGCGATGCTCTGTGTTTGAAGATTATTTTCTCTGCCTCTGTTGTTGCTTCCAGGGGATCCATGACAAGTTTGGAGTCTTGTCACAGTGGTTTCTCACAGCTCAGTGGTGCCACGACGTCCTCTAGCCAATCACATTTCAGCTCCATCTCAAGGTAGCATCTACCAGACATCTGCAAAACCAGGCACTGACGAGCCAGCAGTGCCTTATTAGTTTGTATATGAGAATGCATTTAAGAAGATTTCTAGTGCTTGTATGTTTGTGCAGACATATATATCATATCACTAAACCAGCCAATTAAAGAGGAACATAAAAACCAAAAAAAAGAAGAAAAAAAAAACATCCACGACGCATTCTTGTCATTTCCATGGAGTTGCTCCAATTGTCCACCAGGTGTCAGTGCACTTTGATAGAAACTGCTGTCAGAAATGCAGTTTTTAACTTTGTCTTAACCTCACACTAATCCGTAGCAGTGTTTTCTAAATAAAATGTTGGTTATTATTATAAAGATTGAAGCTGATGTTTTATTACAAAATTGACTTTTTACATGATTTTGAACAATTAGTCCACCAGTGCTGTAATTGAATTATTGAACAGTCATGGATTGATTTTCAATATTACAGCCATGTTTAAAATAATTATTAGATTATATAAAATAACTGGCAAAAGTTTTCCACATCTGTGGAAATCAACATCAATTTTTCCATGCCTCCTTCTGCCTCCGTGGATAAGGGAGGTGTTTTCTGAAGAGGTGATTAAACTGAGTCGGACTTCCTCCTTGCGCATGTTGTTGAAGAAAGTGTTTCTCTGCCAAAGGCTTGTTTACACAATTCCTCATCCTGGTCTAAGGACCTCCCACGACACATTTGGTCCACCACAGGAACATGTACTGTATCTTTACCTAAAATGGCTCTACACCGTTCTCTTAGAGGGGGTTGTGATGCACAGCTAGATTGTTTGTCCCACTTTTGTTATATACTGTGAATGGAACAGAAGAAGATAATAATGCTTTAGATTAAGTGAGCAAATCAGCAAGTCACTGCACTGGAAGTCGTTGTAGTTTGTTCCTCAGGTCTTTAGTGAAACACTGGTAGCAATGAACCATCTGCATTTGTGTTTTTTTTTTTCAAAATGTATTTAAAAGTGCATGCTGACCAAGCATGACAAACACACTGTGTTAGGAAGCAGCTGTGCAAAACACTTACCTTTACAGTAAATTACATTTACAACTTGAAACATTGCACCCGGCTGCAGTGATAATATGCTGCTAAAATAGTTTTGCTCGACGTTTTATTTAAGAGTGAGTGTAAACATCACTACCTGAGAATGTGCTCATGACGATGCACCATCCTCCGTTAACGCCGGTTTACGTCTGACGCAGTAACGGCTAAATGTAAAGAGACTGATGCATCGCTCCCATGTCAAGACTGTTCTTGTTTTTTTTGTGTTTCCTAGATGTCAAGGTTAATTGACAACAGCACGTGTCAAAACTGCCCTCTGATCTTCACGTCTGACCATAAGATTGTTTTTTTTTTCTGCCTCAATTTGATCACAGTAAATCTTAACGGACATTTTCTTCCCACTGTAGCACGGCTCCTCATTAAAACCTGAGCCGCATGTTTAATTTTCCTCTTTTAGACAATCCTGACCTTCCTCCTAATTGAGACAAAGAACTCTTAATTGTGTGCCCTAAATTAGTTTTATGAAGCTTGACACACTGGAGGGGAAGCTTTGCATCACATTATGAGAATTAGCTTGTGTCCTCTGTAATACCAGTTAAGGTTTATTGCCTCTTCTGTCTGAGCTGCGGACCTGTCGCTTCAAGTAATCACGTTAAACTGTGTTGAGGTTGGAAATTCATTTTCTGACTTGATATATTGCGGGGCCTAATGAATATTTGTCTGGAGACAACTATATAGTCACCTCTATTTATCTGTGATGCTTTATGCTATCCTTTCCATCTTCAAACATTGATTTTTATTTTTTCTTCCTGTTACAAGAACGACCGTCAATCTGCCTTCAATTTGAGCCAATTGCTGAACACGGCCCTCATTTAAAATGAACTGTCAAGGCTCCGTTTAAATCAAATGTTTTCATCAGACTCTGATCATCAGACGTGCTTTGTACTGGCATTTGTTCAGCTCACTGAGTTCTGTCGTTGACATTTTCATTCCCCCTCACTTTAAATGAGCACTGATCGTGCAGGTCATTGAAAGTTTATGCAGTTTTTCAAAGCAGTATTTTCTAAGAGAAGGTAAAACTTTGTTGTTTTGTCTGTTTAGAAGATGCACATTAATTTTATGAAACACTCTTTATAATACATCAGTGTTACGTCCAAGTGACCAAACATCAAACAAATACATTTTATTTAAAGTTTATTTTAAAAAGCGGTTACTAGCAGCTTAGCTGTCTCTCCAGACAACCGGCAGAATCCTGCATCTTGTGCTTGGAGCATCACCTGAACCCAACATGACAAACTGTACGCTCCTTTTCTATAGACAAATTAGCTTTCTAGCTAAACCTAACCAAACTGATGTAGAGTACAGCCAGTGATGCCTTAACTACCCTAAGTAAAACAAAAACTACAGTACAATAAGAGTGTTGCCAAAAAGCAGTTTGTTTATTTGTTTTGTTTTTTAACAATTTATATATTTCCTCATAGCTAATAGAAGAAAAAAAACCCCACCACAGGTCATTGAGGCTAACAAAGCTCTGCTGTTTAGCCTGGCAGCTTAATGATTAACTTGGATCACATCGGCAAGAAAAACTGGCTTTACTGAGTGTTGATATACACAGAGCCAAAAATTATTATTGGAGAGGACTCGTCTTCACTGCCGAGCTGCTCCAGTCACTCCAAAAAAAAAAAAAACGGATTTTCCCTGTTTGTATGTAGAGGAGCTGGCAGATATCCCCAATGCACTTGAGTGATGTTGCTGTCTGCAGAATAAAGAAGAATGTGAGCATGTTACAGCAACTGCAAGAACGGGAGGGGTGAGCAGGAGGAGGAAAGACAGAGTCGGTGGTGAGGGGCCAGCAGGACCATCACATTAAGATTACCAGCGGATCATCCAGTCAAAGTCCATGAAGAGATGATTATGGTTTTGGTTGGAGTTTGACATGTGCTTCTGTTGAACATTATGGAGTGTGAATAAATTATGGATGTGTGTTCTGCTCAAAAATGAAGTCAAAGTGAAACCTTAAACCTTTATTTTCTCCAGTGAACACGAGAGAACATCCACTGGGTGTAAAAGACAAATAACTGACGTATTTCTTACTTTTGTTTATAAAATTGTTAAATCTGTCTGTGAACCTGCTTGTTTTTTTTTTGTCTTCAGTTCTGCATGCACTGAATTGTGAAAAAAGGACTTTGTTGTTAATATTAAATAAAGAAAAGAGTGAGGTAAAGGAACATACATACTCACGTTCGTTAGGTCGAAATATAAAACTGCTTTAATCCCTTGGGGAGTGCCATCGGGAGTTTAAGGACAAAAAACGTGCACCGCCCAACGTGGGGCTCGAACCCACGACCCTGAGATTAAGAGTCTCATGCTCTACCGACTGAGCTAGCCGGGCGCGGAAATCAACGAAAGTGCATTTTGATATGATAGTAAAAAGTAGTGCTTGGCCCTTTATTTTTTTATTAATATATATATATATAACAGTTCTGATTCACGCGCAGAGGAAAGATATACTGAAAACTGGGACACAACCGTGTCCACCTCGTCTTCCCCACTCACCCACGGTGTATTTTCATCGTGTTTGTTTGGTTTTACATGTTTCCGCAGACATGTTTGGTTTGGAGAATCAAGAACTTAGAGACAACAGTCGGTAGTTCGAGCGCGGTTTATACAGCGAGAGTAGCAGAGAAATTATTTCCTCGTTAATCTGGCAACCAACAAAAAGGGGAAGACTTGGCAACCCACGGGTGCGTCTCTGCAGCGTGATTACGTCATTTCCCCTACCAGCATGCAACAGGTGTTTTGACAGGCTGTGATTACAAACGTTGGGATGGTGAAGAGTTAAGAAAGTTTTATTAAGAAAGAATAGTTTTAATGCATTAAATAAACCTTTGCAGACAGGTGTCGCTCTAAATTAACTCTAAATATTTACAAGAATCCTCGCGGAGAAACTGTAACGGGATGCAGGTGGGTTTGTTGTTTAAATTCTGAAATAATAAATAAACAACAATATATTTATGCAACGGGTGTTTGTTTTAGCCTCTGTTTTGCAGTGTTTTGCTACGGAAGATAAAAGCTGAGGACACAGAACCAAGAAAAAAGCAACAAAAAAGAAAGAAAAAACCAAAACAAGCGCCGTTTCTCCAGAAGGGACAGGTAAGTTAGATTATTTTGCATTATGATTGGAGCAATTACATATTGTATGTTCTCTCCTTGACTGACTTGTAAACAGCATCATACAAAATTGCAATTTGTTCTGAAATTCCTTCCATTTCAAGGGAGTTCCTAATTTGTACGCAGGTATTTTTGTTTGTTTAACTTCCTTTATTAACAACCCGAGTAAATACGTGCGAATACATGAAATATCTGCAGTTGTCCTGTCCTTGGTTGAATGGTGGAGTGGATGTGACATGTGACTGTACCTGAGGTGTGAACAGTTCCAGGTCTGTCTGTTGAATGTGCCTGAGGGAAAGTCTACTGTCGGAGCTAAAAATGACTTCCTGACTAGGCTGCTGCATCAACTTCCCTTTTCTCCTCCTCCTTTGGTAATTGAATGGTAAAATCTCCTTTTTCTGTGACTTACATGAGGCTGACATTCCCGGGTTTCATTTACAATAATCACATATCATGGAACTACAAAGGGACGAGTAACTATGAAATATTTATTCTGACTTCTGTGACGGTTAAAGGGCTGTGTCAGAATTCGTACTATTTTGCTTTAAATGAAGTGTAAATGTCTCCAGCCGATACTGAATACCTGTACCATTAGGTATTTACAATATAACTGCGATCTTCATCCAAACACTTGTATTTATACGTGAAAATGTGCCGAGCCATGTGGTGATTTTGAAGACATTATGTGAATGAGAATTTATCCTTTTTCTTTAGTTTTTTTAACAAACTCAGACCAGTTGGTTCTCACATTAAACTGAGTGTAATGCTGGTTTCCCACTCTTACCTGATCTTCTCTGTCTTTGTCCACGCCGTTCCCGTGCTCCGTGAAGACCCTGTGGTTGTCGTTGTCTTGAAAACTGGTTTAAGCTCCGGACCGAGGTTCTTCCAGCTGTGATCTGTTAATCCTATTACATCCTTGTTGCATGAAGACACACAATCCTGTGCAGATCAAACAAAGAGTGAGAGGCCTTTTTTTTTTGCGCCACTTGCTCTGGCATCACTACATCTCTTTGACATTCGGTTTCAGCAACAGATTTCAACATGTCTTAAGATTTTAAGTAGTAAAACCAAGGTTGTAACCTCGGTGCCCTCTGAATGGATCCAAAATAGCCCGTTAATTGTGCCGTCATCGTGAAATTTCAATCTTACGCCTGACAGTAAATCTACAACCTCCTCTAATCTATTCCCACTAAATCATGAAGGGACAGAGCTGTAAATGTGCTCATTTAACTGCCAACAGTCTTCTCAGTGTCCACTCTCTAACCAGTGACTTGCAACCTAAGTAGGTGTGATGATTCAGAGAGCGCACACATCTCGCTGAAACAAAAAAGCCTGTGTCTGATGACTGATGCATTGTGATGCAACGTGGTGGTAAATCAGTTTGGACAGTTGTTTCAAACAGCAGCACGCTGGCGAACATCAATCAGTTGGCAGCTTCTCAGATGAGCGACACGGTCAGTGGGATGACGGTCCGTGCGTGAACACTTTTAACTTTGTCAAGAGAAAAATAAGTTCTTAAAAACTGTTAAACCAACAGTTACTGTATGAAGATCCAATATTTGTTTATGGTTATATTTCGTACAGTGTAATTATATGATTTCTGGTGTTTACCAGCGGGGGTTTAGTCAGAGTTTTAAGAATTGAACTGAAGGTTTTTGTTGGCCAACTGATTCTCTGGCTTCCACTCTAACAGAGCTGTGCCATGTATATAAACTGGCCTTCAAGTCCATTACGTGTTTTAAGACCTGATCTTAATCGATGGTATCACAACAGCCCTGCAGTAGACTGGATATATATATATAATGGGTGTAACAGGCTACGGTTGCATGGTGAACAGACATTTGGTTTGGGACGTGATTGGTCACCAGGTGTAACTGACAGCTGGAACATTATGCTTATGACATCACTGATGATGTCACTGGTCCAGACTCCTATTGGAATCTGTGGCCAGTTATCTTTTGGTGTGTGTCGTCTTTAACTTATTTAGTCCTTGTTGAGGTGATTCATCATCTCTAGCAGCTGAACTCTACAAATAGTATGTCTTTTTTTTAACTTAATTGTCAGATGTTATAATGAAATCATGGTGGTTTCAGGTGAGATGAACCTGCTGTGTGTTTTGATCCAAGATCCTCTTTTTTTTTTTTTTTTTGATTTGAGGCAGATTTGGGGAAAAAAGAAGAAAGTAACACAAGTCGTCTTTGTTGAATGCCCTCTCCTCTGTGCGGTTGTCCTGTTTTTCTGAAGCCTGTCAAAGTTCACTGACGCACTGTTGTTCTGTCTGTCAACCTTCACGGCTGTATCCTTGGGTTAGAATCCAGGAGAGCTCCTCCTGCTGCTCCTGCTGCTCCTAACAACCGGCCGATGCGGTTTAAAGATTCAGCCAGAAGTCTTCATTGCCATATTCACTTTGGATGCATAGTAAGCTCTTGTCAGAAAGTACACTTAAGCTGCTCATTGTGCTGTTTCCATGACAACGCCGACACGTTCAGGAGGCAGGAGAATGAGTCGACAGATTAATAAAATACAGTATTCTCTGTCGGTCTGCAGTAAACAGCCTACAGTAAAAACACGATGGAGAATGTGAGGCGGGGGCCGGACGTGTTTACTTGTCTTGTAAGTGGAGTGTGTCGTCTGCCAGGATAAAGTGTCCTGCAGGATTTTGCATCTGTTTATGACTCCCTCAACACTGGAGCTGTGGTTCTGACAGTCGTCAGGAAGTTAATGTGAAGCAGGGATAAATGTCAGCACACACTTTATGGATGCACAGGAGTGTGTGTGTGTGTGTGAACAAGTGATTTATGACCTTTGGCTTTTGGAAGTGTTGTTGATGTAAATATTTTGGAAGGTTTTTGAGAAAGAGCTCAAGTACATTCTCAATGTCTGACATGTTTTTCCTCTGCAGCGCCTCCTTCAGGTGGAAAAAACATAGATTCTAATAGTATTGTTTTTGCATGTTTTACTATAAATAGTTTTTTGCATTAATATTATTAAAAATATTATATAATTAATACATCCCAAATTATTCCAAATATATGTGATTAACCAGTGAGATGTGCTGTTTTAAATTGGTTACATTTTAAACTTTAACATGTTGACCTTTTGATTTTTACTGACTTTCATTGACAAATCTTGTCATTAGTCTTTCAGTTCTAATTGTGTAGTTTATTAAGTGCTTAAGAAATAAACTTGAGTTGAGTTGAGATCAACTGGATGTTTCTCCTGACCAAGGCCAACTCTGTCCTTTACTGACTTTTTATTTATTTATTTATTTTCTTATAGAATTCTGCTGGCACTGCTGGACTGTATATATCTATATAAGTTCTATATATGTCTTCACTGCGAATGCACACAATTTCCGCGAATTAAAGCAGCAGGATTTGTTGACGGACATCACAAAAAAAAACCCACCTAAACTCTCATGTTATTCTATTGAGTGTAAAAACACGCGCTGGAACACGAAACAGGCTGAGACAAGGAGAGGGAGTGAAATAAAGACACGACCTTAAGATTTTTCCATTCATTCTGCAGGACTCGAAGACTAGATTATCGCCCCCGTAACCTGCGTGGACGTGCTAATAAAAAACAAATTGTGTTTGAGATCGGCTCTTACTGCCAGGCTGTTAAAGGTCTGATCGCTTGTAAAATGGCATGTCAGTATTGTGAATATATGTGAATAATTTAAATTTAAATATAATTTAATTCAATTTTAATATTGACTTTTTGGATACAGATATGTTCAGCAGCAAAAAATCCCTGCATTTTAATGCCCTGTGACCCTGATGTAAAGTTTCTTGTGTTAAACAGCAATTTTTCTATTGAAGACCCTGGCATTTTTGGAAATAAAGATTCCACTGAGGATTGTAACCCCTGGACCTTCCCCTATGATCTGCAGGTTTTGATGACATGACAGGGGTTTCCTTGACCTTTGCCCTGTTGATAAAACATTTAAAAATAATCATCTAGTATATATATCCCTCTCCTCGTCGTATTTTGAGTCAAGTAATAAAAATTCATTATTCTTTTGCCCCAGGTGAGTGCTGAATAAGTGCAAAAAATTATTCTTATGTTCTCCAGGCTACATCAATGAAACAGAATTTAATTTTGATTTTTTTTTTTTTTTTTTTTCCCTAGAGACCTTTGTGGTTCTGTCTTGTACTAAAATATGAGGCAGCCGGCGCTTCTCAATTATTTGATCTGAAGTGTTTTATTTTTCTGCCATGTTGGGATCTCTGCAGTCACATATAATAATAATATCACTTTCATAACTGTTGTTTGTTTGTTTGCTCCTCTCTGGATCAACTGCATCAGCCACAGAACTCTGTCGTGTCTCACTTTAAGGTAAAAATAAGCGAGAAAATCTGGTCTCGCCACAGTGTTATACATTGACTGTTGGCTACAACGGCTTTGACAGAATGTCGTACCGAGTTCAACCACTCATTTCAATGGTCAGTTGATCCTCAGCCTCTGTCAGCTGTTAATTGAAACCCCTGAAAACCTAATTAGGGCTCAGAGCCTGAATGGACTCGACGACAAAAGATGCCGAAGCAAAATGGGCCTCAGCTTCATTACAGTCAGTTTGATTAACGGACTAATTTATTATTTTATTTATTTTACAAATGTGTTCAATACTTTCTTTCAAAATATGTACGGATTTTGCACAAAAGTTCTAAAATTGTAAAGATTTCCAATACTTTTGAAGTACTTGTTTGCGTGATGCACGTTGGGAGAAGTTGTTTGGACAAGTCAAATTGACAGTGAATATTGTAATATGTTGTAGTTTTATATACATTACCATGTTAAAGATTTGTTATATTATTATGTGTGTTTATTTAGTTGAACGTAGCAGTTGTTGGTGAGACAGTATTCTGACTGTTTACACCAAATTAAACATTTTGTTTGTTTACTGCTTGAAAAATTGTCGAATTTATCCCGCTCCTCATTGCGTATTCAGCAAAGTGACACAGTGAACTGCAGTAAAGTGTTTCCTTGTCATATTAATGCCAGAACATAGAAAGAGTGATGAATGGGTTTGAGTCCTGCAGCACAGATTAGCAGTAGTACTGTAGGTTCTGGACTGCAGTATTCTAAACATGAGAGCAGAGTTTCCCCAACATTGATTAAACATCCAGAGCTGTTTGCTCTCTAAATGAGATTTCCTATAATAAAATGATTAGTCAAAGCTGTTGCATATTCCTCCCCTTCACACAGTGTTTTAGGGCTTTTTTTTCAGGTCATTATTCTGCTCTGGAGTTTGTTATATTATTATTTGCTGGGTCTGTTGATCGTTTAGCTCACATTTCCACATTACTTTTCCGTTTCCTTCTATTATTCATCACATTTTGAGCTGTTATTAGATCGATTAACAGCTCTCTGCCGCCCTCACACGCCACATTTTCTCTGAATATTGCATAATAAACTCGGGGTTTGATGTCATTTTATAGATCCTCCAGACCTCTGGTGAATTCACATCCACAGCACTGTGCAGTTTTCTTCCCCTCCTCTCAGTGGCTCCGGTAACTTCAGCCTGCCTCACAGCAGTGGAACATTCTCACCTCGCTCCTTTGTCACATAATTGGTTCACATACAATGCACTGGTATTTTTCTCTGTATACACTGCAGGTGCCATTAGAGGCAGGTCATGTGCGCAGGATATAGGCATTAGGTAGAAACAGGAGACAGAGATGAAGAGGTTGGATATTAAAGGGAGCCGTGGTGCAGAAATGCAGCAGGAGGTGACAGGGTTTGAAGAATGGATGAAGATTTAGAGCCGAGCCGAGGGAAGAGAGTTCTTGTGGAAGATCAGCTTCAGATCCTGGTGTTTTTTTTTTCACGGCCTGCTTGATCTAAGACGTGCTAATTTCATTAGGTGGTAATTTTCCACGGTGTTTGGTGTGGACGCCTTACAGCCAGAAGGTCAACTGTTCTTATACCAGTTTCTACCGAAAACATTCACAATTCTTACTTACAGATTTCTATCCCCCCCCCTTGCCTGCAGGGGTGCTCCTCCTCAAACTCAATGAGAAGATATTCTAAAAGTGCCAAAAGGTGAATAATGTACCTACGGAGACTAGTAATGACCTTATTACTGTTTTTCAACCACAAAAATCCCTACGATTGTATGTTGTTGAGCAAGAGTTATTTTTATTGAACAAATCATTAAAGGACTGTACAGAAACTGACCTTTAACCTTACTAGATAAGACTAATTAATTTTCACGTGTTCAACTTCACAACTAACCTCCTTATCTTCCATCCTGTTTGATGTTGTTGTTTCCCAAGACTTAGCCAGAATATGGTTTGTCAGAACGTACTTTGTTGCCACCACTGGCTGCTCTTCATGTTCACGTTCTGCTTGAATGACTGTTGAAGTTGAAGCACTGCTGTGTTTTCATCCAAACCCACTTGATGTTTTTCCTGATGTCTTCAAAGAGTGAATGAAATGGGCGTCTTAAAGTCACGCATGTGTTTTGTTTCCCGACAAAAACCTGGGAGTTGAACCTCTGACGTCTGCGGCTCCAGAGTGAAAGAAGTAGCGAGCCTTAGAGTGATTTAAAGATGAAGGCTGTCAGCTCCGCCGCTTCCATTCAAGGGGCCACGAGAGAATAAAATTGCATCAGAGCCTTTTGTGACAATAGAACAATGGCTGTGAGACTGAATAGACTGGAGACGAAGTGACAGCTGGAAATGGGAGAGGAATAAGATTGAACTGAACTCTTCCTGGACAACATTCATGGCATTTACTATGTAAGATGAATCACAGATGGAGACTGAGGTTTGGATGAAGCAGCAACACATTCACCGCGTTGGATTCTGGTTCCTACATACGACATATTAGACGGACTGTTATTTTCATTTTAGTCATTTGAACTGTGGTAATTAATTAGTTAAGATTTGAGATTTTTCAAACTATCAAAGCTTTTCAACAGGTTTTGATCCAAGCTCAGTATGATTTTTTATACCTGAACTGAACCATTCACTCAACCGTAGCACTAGCCAAACTGACGTCTTTACTCACATACTGCACATATAATAATAATACACACATATACTCACAGTGTATACACTGTACTCTATGCCTCAGGCAGAATTCAATACTTTCCAACCATCATCCCTCCAGGCGTCAGAGCAGCTGCTGCTGATGATCAGTTCACGTATCGACAGTCTATTCATGAGTATTGAGTCATGTGTTGAATAAGAGCCACAATGGCGGCGTTGGCCCGCTCTCCAAAGGATATACACGCCCCATTGCTCTTTTCTGAGTGTGTATGAGAGTGCATTTCTAAAGTATACCTTGTTTATTAGTCTCATTTGTGCATGTGTGTGTGCGTGTGTGTGTGTGTGTGTGTGGGCTGCTGTGATTCATGCTGCTCTTGGAATCATTTGTTAAAACCTCGCCAACAGTTTTTGTTTTGGACCGAGAGCCGAGGCCGCCAACTTCAGATGATGACAGTCGATAAAGGGCGTGTTTGAAGTGTTTGTGAGCCGCGGTGTTTTATAGGTGTTCAACGCAGTGCTGTGCAAAGTATTTGTCTAAAGGTGAAGGGTTCGATGCTCTTGTGTTTCCTGGAATTATGAGCCCCATGTTTCACAGAGGGGTCTTTTGTGGCAGAGTGGGTTTTTTGGGGGTGGAGAGAGTTCTGAATTCTCTGAGCACAAAGAGCACATTTGAAAAGATAAGGTATTTGTCAGGTACTACAATGTGACCTTTCCTGTTAGTTTGGAAAGACATACAAATATAATTGGACGTATGATTGAGTGATGATCTGTATTATTGGGTTGATTTAAGTTGGTACAGGAATATAGCAGAATGACAGGGTGAGTCATGTGACCAGTGGCATTAATCATACTCTATATATAACATTTTTCTTCTGGTTACGTCTGTGGACATGTTTATATAATCAGAGCTTTTTTTTTTATTGTTGAAGTTACAGTTTAAATTCTTCCTTATTCTTCCTTTTTAATCCAATCCATTAGTCTAAAAAATACTGTTGCTTAGTTTTTCAATGACCACATCACGCCATAACAATAGCACTGCACCACAGTTTTAGCCTCCCTCTGCAGCCCCTCTGAGCAACCATGACTTGCAAAGTGAAGTAATAACGTCAGGCTACAAAAAACAAAGGTTTTTTTGTAGCCTGAAAGAAGAAAGTGAAACCTCCAACTTCTTATCCAACCAAAGTTTTATTGTCATTACATAGATTTTTATGTATTTTTTCCTCATTTTATTCATTCTGTCTCATTAATTCTTTTACTCCTCAACCAAATGGTGCAGCGGCCTTGTTTTGTGGGGAAACCCCAGCAGCTCTTCTCCTCTTTACATATGAATCTGTCACGGCCGCCGTTTATCACGGCTGCTTTGAAGAAAGATTTGCATCTGATAAATCCAATAAGTGTTGTCCTGTTTGGGCTCCTGCCTCTCTAAATTGCAGTCACACTGCCAAGCATGGTTGGCTTTTCATGAGGCGACGCGTTTGTTGACAAACATGTGATGAGGTGAATGTTTGAATAACTAATTCAAAAAGCAATTTAGCAATGAATGAGATGTAAAAAAAAACAAAACAGGGTTAGGAAGGCACAATCTTGTTAGCATTTTGTAATATGCACACGAGAGCTGGGGTAAAAAAGCAATTGCATGTTCTCATTAGCAGCGACAGTTGGGGGGAAACACAATAAGTAAGTGAGTGAGATGGAAAGGTTTACACATCACAGCACTAGAGTGTCCTCTGTGTCTTTCAGTGGCTTTAATCCTAAAAATTGTAGCAAACAATTATTTGCACAGGCAAAGCTTTTAAAAGCAATTTAAACGGCTCTCTGTTATAAAACCTCAGCCTCGTGGTACAAATACATGAAATATTCATAGCCATGTTTTATGTTTGTACACTCTGTGACAATGATGCACTGCTTTAAGCTGAAACAAGATTTTTAATCTTCTTGAAACATTTTGTTGTTGTTTTTTAAAGCCATTAATCACCACAAGTCTTTACCTGAATAATTTACGCCACTCGAAGCACTTCATTATATTCACTAAGGAAATTTATGTCATGTGATATAATCATTATTCTGTAAGGCGTGGACTGAAGAGGTTTGTCAAGTGACCTTGGATTAGACCGGCGCCCCCTACAGTGACCGGGATTCGACGTCACTCTCGAGGAATTTTACCAAATCAGTCCCAGACTCCAGGGTTTTGACCCAAAAGGTTCTGGAAGATGTCATTTTATTTTAATTTCCACCTGTAAACCCAGCACAGACCCGTCTCCTTCACCTCTGTGTCTGGTTGCCTCCGGATTTAAAGCCACGCAGATCGGTGATTTTTTTTTTGTTTTTTTGTTTCTTGGATCGACTGTCCTGTCTTTCCTCAATTAGCCACAGCAATCTGTCAGCGTTAACGCGTCACGTCTTTCCTCAATTAGCCGCAGCAATCTGTCAGCGTTAACGCGTCACCTGTCAGTTTGTCCAGAGTGACATAAGCAATCGTGTAAAAGACACTCATTGTTTAGTGTTCAATATAACCAATATGCTCTGCGTCTGCCTCAGCAGATGCCACCTCATATAATGTGTTCAAGTCTGACTCATCTGAGCAGGAGGAAGTGGGGGGGGAAGGAGGGGGGGGGGGGGGGGGGGGGGGGGTTGGAGCTGGTGGGTTCACAGTAAGGTACCCTTAACTATTGGGAAGACTTTTAATACGTGAGTGTTCTACTTTTCAACAATCATATAATTACCTTTTTCCCTCCAGTTTTTATATTAATTGTGGTTATTTCCACTTTAGTCTGAAATTATTTGGTTATTTTGTTTTACTCATTCAGAGTTTCTGTAGCCTACAGTACCGGTGAATGAACCAGCACAGGTAACAAAGCCCTTTGCTCCATGTGATCTGAGGGACCCTGTGCTTGTGCGAGACAGTCCACCCCACCTAGCCTGAAACGTCAGGGCAGCAGGGTTTATGTTTAAGTGTTTATTTGAGGTAAAGAAACTTTATTTAACCAACATTTCCATCGATGTTCAAACTCCAGTTGGCAGCATCTGAGCCAAGACCTAGAAGTGTCCCAAAGGGTGAAATTGGTGACCTAGTATTTATCCACGGCCAAGACCACTGCACATTTGCCAGTAAATGTCCACTATTTTTTATTCATTAGAAGTTCAGGCCATATTTGCCCATTTTTATTTTAGGTCACTTCACACTTACAGTCTGAATAAAATCCAGCATGGCGACAGCGTTACGACCCACATTCACTTGTTTTTCTAGTGTTTGCCAAAACAACAACAACAACAACGCTTCTAAAAATACTTGCAGTGTGTGTGCATGGCCTCAGGAGGGAGTGCATTGAATGTAGCGTTTGGCGACAGTGTGACTGACGTGTGGTGGTCAGCAGTTAAAGAGTGGCGGCTCATCCTGAGAGACCTACAGTACAGGAATGGGATTTTTACCTAAAGCTGCTGTCGACGGAAGGAGCAGCCAGAAGTCACCACGAGTCAGGGGAGATGGAGACAACGTTAACAGTATCTCAGTGTGTGTGTGTGTACATGAATATACAGTATATGTATGTACACACACGAGTATATGAGATACTCTTTACATTGTTTCCATCTCCCCTGATCCGAGATAAAATAATGAGTGTAGTATCAAAACATTATGATTATGAATGAATTATTCCAGACTGGATCAGTCTTTTACTCAAATGTTTTTGCAGGAGTAGTTTCAAGACTTAGAAGTAAATAGGAGGTAAAAAGTAAAAGCCCTTTAGATTCTTCTCTGTATATTTTAATATAATCCTCACCCCTCCCTCCCGTCCCTCCCCCCTCCAGCTGTGTACGGCAGGATGCCTTTCCTGCTGTTCCTGGTTGGACTAAAATCTGTTCTGACCATAAGTTGAGCTCATCAACACACACACACACACACACGGTGTTCAGTGTTCTTCAACTGACAGAACTTTTCTGTAAAAACATTTAAACACAGTCATTAGTCGACTGAGACAGAGGCCAGGGCAGTGGAGACCCCGAGCTTATTGTGTGAGATTTGTTAAAGGTCTCTGCTAAGGATTTTCGATTGTGATTAAAGGTTAAACTTACAAAGTCAATTACAGCGGCTCATTATTATTATGTCGTCCCCAAAACAATATTTCCTGGCAGATGTTTTTTGTAACTAACGTCTGTAAGAAAATGCTCTGCAATTAAAAAAAAAAAAGCGTCAGTTTTCCAATGCCCGGCTGACGGCTGTTAAAAAGTAACACAGTTTTATTTTTACCTGTTTTTATTTTGCCTAAAAGAAACTAATTTTCAAGTCAAGTTAACCCTGACACTCACGGGGGAAACAGAGTCATTCTCTGCTCTGTGTGCAGGCAGTGGTTAATTGAAGACAGATTATACCTTTGACACCTTAATGGCTGTTTTTCATTAGCACGACTTCTTAAGAGCATTTCTGTGTTTTAGCTCAAAAATCCTGCAAATCTTAGACAAAAACAAAAGACGGCTCTTGGTCGTATATAAAAACAAACATTATATAATCCTGAGCGGCTTAAACAACAACATCCACGCTTTGAAAACACTCACAGTAGAAGCTTTAATGTGTTAACAACCAATTTTGAACATCTCAGTGTGAGAACCATTCAGTGGCAGGTTGATACAGATACAGACTGTGCAGAGGTCACAGGTGTAGTAGCCTTGGCTGTTCTTAAGAACTGAACTGATAAGAACTTCACGTTGACATGTAGTGACACCTCCTCACCATAGAAACATGTCGATGTGAAAAACAACCTTGATTGTCTGATTGTGAGAAACTTGGTTGTGTTGAAGCAACCTTGGCGAACGTTAGCAAGAGGTGTTCCAACAAACCACAAAACTAGCTGTAAAATTAGCCAGTTAGGTTAAAAAAAAGACCAACGAAGTCTCATATGCAATGAATGTCCAACTGTTGTGACTGTGTCTGGTGTTAAAACTGAGCCTAAGAACCCAAACCTGCACCGTCCACGCAGGATCTCGTGCCTCAGCATCAAGCTTAAGTAGTCAGCAAAAATGAATATCTCGTGCCTCAGCATCTGGTTAAAGTTGAAATAAAAACACAAGCTTAAGTAGTCAGCAAAAATGAATGGCTGGGCCACTCTGGTCATTGCATTTTTTATAACAAACATTTACTTTATTCACAAATTGAGTCGATATGACCGCCTGTACCCTCGGCTCCTCTGATCGTTCTACGTTTCTCATCAGTTTTCTACTCAGGATTTTAAATGGTATAAAGGCTTGGACCTGTTATGTGCATACATTAGTGGATGCACAACTCTAAGATATAGGTTTTGGATGGGAGCAGCGCAGAATAACTGTCAGGCATTATCCTCTCCCCCTCCCTCTCTCTCCCCCTCCCTCTCTCTCTCCCTAAGCCTGCACTCATTAATTCTAAACCAGGCTGTTTCTGTCAGGGCTGCTCCACCGACGGCGTGTAAAGAGCCTGATGAGAGCAGGAGCACACAGGATGACAGTGCAGGTGTGGGCAAGCAGCCAGGAGGTGACGCTGAAGTGGTAGAAGCCGGGGGAGGGGGAAGGCTGGGGGTGAGTCGTAAGGAAAGTTGAAAGTTGTGATATACACATGCACACACTGCTGGTTGCTCATTAAGGTGGCTGGGGGGTGTGGGGAGGGCTAGATGGGGGGGCGGTGTGATCCCTGCTCTTGCCACAGAGTGTGGAGGAAGGATGGGACAGCCCGTGTCAGAGGAGTCGTCAGCAGATCTATTATAGTCCACAGCTCTGAATATTACAGAAAGTTTTTTTTTTTTTTGCATTGTTTCTTGGAATCTATGGCGACGATTAAACTCTGCTTATCGACTTTTTTGGTGCTGCACTTCATTTTCTCACAGCCAGGGTGAGAGTAGGAGTCAATCTCAGAGCCCGACGGCTGTGTCCACATGACCAATTAGCATCTGCTGGTAAAGGCCATTAGTCCAACAGCGGGAGGCCATTTTCCATCCCATAGACCACATTGACAGTCTGAAGGCATTTCTGGCTAATCTGCCACCATCATCTGTGGCACAGACATTTGTTATTAACTTTCCTTTGTGTTCTTCAATGTTCCACCAGTATTTTCTATGTTCAATGCATAGACAACATATAAAAAAAGACAAAACTCTTCTCCATCTTCCTGATTTCTCATTTTTGAAGCTAATCTCAAACACCGCAGAAGAAGAACATTTGAACTTCTGATGCAGAAGTTTTGGCTGCAGTGGCAACACTGGGCCAGCAGGGGCAAATTCCTTTTTTGCTTTTAAAATATGAAGTAAAAGTAAGGGCCTAAATTCACCTTTTTGCCTTTTTAACCCATATGATAATTTATTCAATAATAATGTGGTATTTTTCCCTGTTCTCTTCTATTTAGCATGAAGTTACCGTGTGCATAATATCTATATATAAATGGTCACTGGCTGTGGTTTACTAATTTACTAACCCTAACCAGCTGATGAAAGTCATCAGATATAAAGTAATTGAATTTCACACTGTCCTGCCTCAAATCAAAAACTGTTTAAACCAAAACAATCAACCTTCACGTCAGTCCTGGGAAACTTCTTTCACGTTTCATTAAACACACGTCTCCGTTCTGAACGGTGTATTTCAGTGAGAGCTCCTCACTGGGTACACGGAGATATTTTCTATGCCTCTGAGGTCATGGATTATTCATAGAATATGGAGGGAGGTGACGCAGCCCCGTGGTGTGGCTCATGTACCAGTGAGCGTGACAGGAAGGGAACGATGGTGATGCTGTTATTTGCTCATTTGTCTTTTTTTTTACCCTTCAGTGGATTAAAAACATGTCAGTCATGACAGCGTAGTGGTGTCACGGTGCGCTGGACAACAGCGCTGGGTTGGTGTTGCTCACCGAGTCCAGCCGGGTGTTCATCGCAGCGCTGAAAAGGTGTTTCATGTTGGATTGAAATAATGATGAAATCACGCTGTAATGTTTGTACATGTCGGTGTTCAGGAAAAACAAAAGACAGATGGAATCCCTGTTCAGACTGCTGTGTCTCTGTGTGTTGTTCCTCAGCTGTACTTAACAGTGGCATGTGTGTTGTGTATTTTTATGTTTTGTAATGAAGAAGAAAAAAAATCATACATTTTGTTGGTCAGGACAAATAGAAACGCCTGGAGAGAATGGAATTACTCCTCACACACTACAGCCATTGTGGGATTCGAACCCCAATCCTCTGATAACAAGTCTGATTCTCCTATCCTTTTTTTAAGAACTACTATAACATTCAACATAGTGATAGAACAAAAAGGTTCATTGTTAGCGTCAATAGGTTTTTTCTTCTTCTTTTATCATTTCTTTTGCTTTTCCTATTGACGGCAACGATTTACCCTGACTTGTTGATCTTTGAAGACAAAGACAAACTCTCTGCCCAACA